CTCCCTGTGTCTGTCCTTGCAACTGGCTGCGCCTCCCGCCCAGCTGCAAGCATCCAGTTCCCCTGAACTGCCTTTGCACCAACTCGGGGTCGTTATTAGACCAGATAAACTAGCGCCTTCTCAATTCCTGTGTCACACATCCCTACCTACGTGTAATCCCCCACAGAAACTTGGTTGCATGCCTGAAGGTCCTAGCGGCCAGGTGGCGGCACCTTGCGCCAGGTGGCGGCAGCGAGCGACCTGCACCCCAAACCGCACAGGCCTGCCCAGCCCAGCTTGGCCAGCTCCCACACTGGACAAGGGAGGCGGGGCCCAGGACGTCCTCATCTGCTGCAGTTTGCTGGTGTGCTGCGCGCCCTCGAGGCGGATTCTTCGATTTGGGTAGGCTGTCTCCCTGGCGCCCCCTGCAAACGGAAGCAGGATGTCGACAGCCACGGTACAGCGGTCTATGCAACAACGGGGCGTGATTGAAGACGCCGCTGTCGAAGGGGCGGCATGGCTGAAGCGTATCTTAGACTTGGAGCAGCACAGTTCACACGAGCTAGCTAGCCAGCTCACAGATTCACCTTTGAAGGTGAGAAACGGGCCACCGCCAACTTTCGGAGCACGCCGCCATCCGCCAGCCAGCCTGTGCTGGCCCAGGGGGGCACACTGGGCACCCAGTGGATGCACCCCAGGCAGAATGGATGAAGGGTTGAGGGCGTAGGGTGCCGGTTGCTGACACCCTTGCCGGTCGGCTCGGTTGTTCCGCTCGCCCGCTAGCTGACCACGCTTCTGCCTCTCCGCGTCCCACCTGTGCTGCAGCCCTTCTGGGTGTCGCAAGCTACCGCCATCCTGTTTTACAGCTTCAGCAAGACGGCGGTGTTTGGGGGCAGGGCCAAGGGGCACGGCTTCCTGGTGGCACGGTGAGTGCGCAGCTGAGACGGGCGGCGTGGCGTGGCGGCGTACCCCTGGCGAGCGCGCATGCTTCTTGACGGCTTTGTGCCCTGGGCACAGCGCCCACACACCTTCATGCATCAAACTAAGCCCCGGCTCGGTGCTTGGCCGCGGTGCAGGCTGCCCACCGCGCACAAAACGCTGATCAGGTTCAGCGCTCCGCTCTTCCTCGACATCAGCTATGGCAGCTTTGGCCTCAGCCTGGGCCGCACCACCACCTGCAGCTTTGTGGCATGCATGGGCAAGCAGATGGGGCACGCCCCTGGGGGGCCGCAGCCTCTCAGGGGCGCGAGCGGCAGGCCGCAGCCCGGCAGCGCAGCCGCTGCCACACTGTTCGCATGCCGCTCCCCTCCTCTGCCTGGCGCGTGACCAGCGCTGCCGCGCCTCCCTGCTGCCCTGCTGCCGCAGTTCCAGGAGCAGCTGCTGGCCAAGGGCAAGCGCACGCTGCGGGGGCTGGACGCCTCGGTGCTGTGCGGCTGGTCCCTACAGGAGCGCGCCGACTTCCTCACCATGAACTGCGCTGGCGGCATGGTGGACACCGTGGGCGTCAGCTCCGTGTCTGGCGGCATCTTTGACCTCTCCTTTGCAGGCAAGCGAGGGGGGAGGCAGCCTGGGGCCGCACCGCACCCGCGGAGGGAAGCACCGCCTGCGCCGTGTGCCCTGCCTGCGCGCGGGCCCCCTGTTCACCCTTGTTGCCCTCCCTCGTGTGCCCCGTAGGCGGCAGCCTGTCGGTGGATAGAGCCAAGAATGCGGCGGCGTACGGCGACGTCAAGCCCAGCCAGATCCTGGATGGCACGCTGGAGCCGCCGCCGGAGATGCAGGCGCGTGTGTGTGCTTCCTGGCTGGTGGGCCTGCTGATGAGCATGCGTGCCCGGCCCTGGCCTGGCTGGCACCAGCTGGCCGTCAGTGTGACGTGGCCTCCTCCCTCGCTTCCCCTGCGCCATTACTGTCCCCATGTGCAGCCGCTGTACACGGAGCTGTCGCTGATTGTGCACCAGGCGGAGGCGGACCGGCCGTCTGCCGCACCCTCGCGTGTCAGCGCCTCGCTGGAGCGCTACTCCACGGGCACCGACCCCGACCGCTCGCTCGTGCTCAACGACGGCACCGCGCTGTGGGCGGACGACCCGCTGCGGCCGCGCGGCGAAAAGGCGCCGCTGGCACGGCACTCTGTGTGAGCGGGTGCCTGTTTTTTTTCTTCACTCCAATCTGAGCGTGGTTGTTTTTGCATTGCCCTTGGCGGACGACTGTCCCCCAGGTCACAAACCGCAACCTGCTTTTCGGCAGCTTGACTCGCCGGTGCAGCCGTGCTGCCCTGCCACCCCACTCCCCTGACCGCCTGACTTGGCGCATGCACTGCCATTTTTCCTTATAGTTGTCTTGCGTGGTGAGACTGTTGTAAGCAGGCCCCACCGGGAGGTGCCAGGGTTTATGCAGGGCGGCGCTGTGCAAGGGTTTTGCGGCGGCCTGGCCTGGCGGGGCCCCTTGCTAGGGGTACGCCGCCGCAGCCAGCTCTGCACAACAGGAAACGATTGTATGCGGTTCTTCAATCGCTGCATGCTTGCCAGATGGCGAGCGTTTGGTGCGAGCATGCCAGGATCGCACGCTTTGATCGAGGAAGGCAGTGGCTAGGTCAATCCTCAAGGCCCAGGCCTCGCCTGCCTCGCGTTCATCACGTCTACTCGGTCCAATTGGACGCCTCAACGGCCCTGACCTCGCCAGGTGCGAGCGCCGCCGCACCCAAAGGCCCCAGTGGCCAACGGCCTGGTGGCCCTTTGCTTGCCTGCTGGCTCCCCCTGGCTCAAGGGACATCCCAGGGACTACCCTGAGGGCACAGGGTTGTGGGCTTCGGGGGCTAGGGCACTCAGAGATGGGGTTCTTCGTTTCATCCTCTGCCCCTGGAAGCCCAGAGCCCACTCCTGTGGCCCCGGTTCCTGCCCGCTGTGGCCGTTGCCCGCCGCCATGCTGCGTGTTCCGCCCAGATTTGGGGGCCGCCGCCGCCGCCCAGCCGCCGCCTGCCGTCGCCCCAGCCCCACCGCTGGCGCCTGCCCGCTGCCTGCCCGGTTGCAGAGGCAGAGTTTAAAGATGGGGGAGGAGGATGCCAACGGGAAGGCTGCCAACGGCGCCGCCGCCGAGGAGAAGGCCGAGAAGAAGGAGTCTGGGCACACCGACCACCGCGATGAGTTTGAGGCCTCCACCGGCCTGACCACCGCAGGCGAGGCGCCGCCCCCCTCCCCTCGACCACCTCCACCTGCCACACACATGGCCGTGCGCAGGCGCATGCATGGCGCATGCATGGCGCATGCCCTTGCATGGCGCAGTGCCGTCCCGCTGCGGCCGCCGCCGCCGCCGCCAGCTCTTCGCCCGGTGCATGCACGTGTGCTCAGCACCCTGCCCTCCGCTCCCTGCCCCGCGCTCGCCTGCCTGCAGAGGCGGAGGCCCTGCTGTTGGAGTGGGGCAGGAATGAGCTGGAGGAGAAGAAGGTGCCCAAGTGGCTGGTCTACCTGAAGCACCGTGAGTCGGGCAGCTCCCCGCCACTGTCCCCCTCCCTGGCCAGCGCCGCGTCAGCTCCTTGATGCCCACGCATCACCAATCCATGCGCATCATGCGAAGCGCGCGCTTCGCGCTGCGCGCTCGCTGCCCTCACGCGCAAAACCAAGGGCCGTGCGACGCGGCCTGCCCGGCCTCCACACCGTCCTTCCCCTGCCCTGCCTTGCCCCTGCGCCGCAGTGTGGGGCCCCATGCCCATCATGATCTGGCTGGCCATCATCATTGAGTTCGCCATCCAAAACTGGATTGACGCCGGCATCCTGCTGGGCATCCAGTTCGCAAACGCCACGCTGGGCTGGTGCGGCGCCGCCGCCCGCCTGCCGCGCCAGCCGCTGCCGCCGCTCCTCCCCCGCGCCCTGCATGCAATGCACGTGCATGGCACCGGCTTCACCGTCCCCAGCAGCTTGCTGCGCAGCGCGCGGCTGCTCCCTGCCCCATCTCACCCCCGCCGCGCTGCGCCCTCCCTCGCCGCGTAGGTACGAGACCACCAAGGCCGCCGACGCGGTGGCCGCGCTGAAGAAGGCGCTCAAGCCGCTGGCCACGTGCAAGCGCGACGGCAAGTGGCAGACGATGGACGCCACCACGCTGGTGCCCGGCGACCTGGTGCTGCTGGGCGCGGGCGCCGCCGTGCCCGCCGACTGCATCGTGAATGAGGGCCGCATCGAGGTGGACCAGGCGGCGCTGACCGGAGAGTCGCTGCCCGTCACCATGTACAAGGGAGACACGCCCAAGATGGGGTCCACGAGTGAGGGCCGCGGCGGGGGCCGGGGGGGCTGGGCTGGCCTGGAAGGCTGGGCTGGGGGGGCAAATGGGCAGGTGGCTTGCGGCTGGCGTGGGGGGTGGGCAAGCGTGGGAGGGCGACCATGCCAGGGCAGCCTGCCTGCTGCTGCCCGTGCGCGTGCGTGCCCCTGAGCACCGCCCCGCCCCCCCTTGTGTGCCGCCGCAGTCACCCGCGGCGAGGTGGAGGGCACTGTGGAGTTCACCGGCAAGAACACCTTCTTCGGCAAGACGGCGCAGATGCTCCAGGGCGACGGTGGGCTGGGCAACCTGCAGAAGATCCTGCTCAAGATCATGTTTGTGCTGGTGGTGCTTTCCCTCACCCTCTGCTTCATCGCCCTCATGTACCTCATCTTCTCCAAGAACGAGTCCTTCAAGGAGGCCCTGTCCTTCACCATCGTGCTGCTGGTGGCATCCATCCCCATCGCCATCGAGATTGTGTGCACCACCACACTGGCGCTCGGCTCACGCCAGCTCAGCGCGTGAGCTGGGCACGCGCCCGCATGCGCGCCGCGGCGCTGGTTCACTTACCGTGCAGGCAGCTGCCGAAGCAGCATGATTGAGTCTGTGGTCAGGAGCGTCTGAGCGTGTGCCCAGCCCCAGCTGCTGACGCCGTCGCGCCGCGCCCCCTGCCCTCCCCCCCCTGCAGCTACGGCGCCATTGTGACCCGCCTGCAGTCGATCGAGGAGATGGCTGGCATGAACATGCTCTGCTCCGACAAGACCGGTGAGCAGGGAGGGGCGCGGCGAGCCGGGCCCTGGGGCGACGGCGCCGAGGGCGCTGGCCTGGCTCTCTCTTCACTCTTTGTTGGGCGATGAGCAGCATGGGCAGGCTGCACGGCTGTTGAGCTGCCCTGAAAGCGGCGTCAGAGTCCTGGCCCCTTACCCGGTACCCCCGCCCCGCCCCTCGCTGCCCGCCAGGCACCCTCACCCTCAACAAGATGGAGATCCAGGACTACTGCCCCACCTTCCGCGACGGCGAGACCCTGCAGACCGTGCTGGTCGCCTCCGCGCTGGCCGCCAAGTGGAAGGAGGTGCGCCGGGGCGGCCAGGATGGCACCCCGTCACCGGCCCGGGCCTGGCTGTGTGTGGCCGGGCACCCGTCCCTCTCTGCACATTCCGCACATCCATTGCAGCGCGGCATGCAGCGTGGCGCCCTCCCTGCTGCCGCGCTGACCTGCGCCTGCGCCTGCGCCTGCGCGCGCGCGTGTGCAGCCCCCCAAGGATGCCCTGGACACCATGTGCCTGGGCGCCGTGGACCTGGACGGCCTGGACGTCTACACCATGCTGGACCACTCGCCCTTCGACCCAACCATCAAGCGCACCGAGTCGGTGAGCGGGGCGGGAAGAAAGGGAGGAAAAAACAGAAAAGAAGAAATGCAGCCGGAGGCGGCAGGGGCCCCTCTGGGCGCTCTGGTAGTGTGGCGGTGGCTATCAGCTGGGCAGCCCAGGCAAGGCAGCCGCGGGCGCCCTGCCAACGCGCCGACCCGCCCCCACGCGGCCCCGCGCCTGCCTGTCCCCGCGCAGCAAATCCAAGCCCCCGACGGCACGGTGTTCAAGGTGACCAAGGGCGCGCCCCAGGTCATCGCCAAGCTGTGCGGCGCCGACGACCAGCCCGAGATGAAGATGCGGGTGGAGGCGGAAGTGGCCAACCTCGGCTCCCGCGGCATCCGCTCCCTGGCCGTGGCACGCACCTACGACGAGGCGCAGGAGAAGTTTGAGCTGCTGGGCATGCTGACCTTTTTGGACCCGCCCCGCCCCGACACCAAGCACACCGTCGAGCAGGTGGGACGGGCTGTGGGCTGGGCTGGGCTGGGCTGTGCGCCCGGCATGGCATGGCATGGCATGGCATTGGGCTGCGGCTGCGCTGCGCTGCTACTGCCGCGATGTGGGATAGGGTGCGTGGCGCGGCGCAGCGCGCAGGCGCGCCCTCCCCCTTGCACCCCACCCCGCGCCCTGGCTTGCCTTTGACCTTCTTCCTGCCGCCCCTCCCCTCCTCCCCTGGCGCAGGCCCTGGAGTATGGCGTGGATGTGAAGATGATCACGGGCGACCAGGTGCTGATTGCCAAGGAGATGTCGCGCATCCTGGGCCTGGGCCTGTCCATCCCCGACGCCTCGGGCCTGCCCAAGCTGGATGAGGACGGCAAGATCCCCAAGGACCTGCACAAGTACACCCGCATGATTGTGGAGGCAGACGGTTTCGCACAGGTCTACCCCGAGCACAAGGTGCGTGGGTTGTAAGTGGGTGGGCGTGTGTGTGAGTGTGTGTGCGCATGATTTAAGTGGCCGGATGGGTGGGGGAGTTGTGGGTACCAGGGAGGGGGCAAGCAAGGGCGAAGGGCTGGCGCTGGAGCCAGGTGCCGCTGGTGTGCGCTGTGCCGTGCTTCAGGCAGGCCCGTGGCTCGGCTCCTCTCTCCCCGGCCGCCCTGGGCCCATCCCGGCTGGCTCACCGCCCCGCCCTGCCCGCCTGCGCCCTCCCGCCCTCCCCCACCCCCCTGCAGTACCTGATTGTGGAGTGCCTGCGCCAGGCCGGCTTTGCCGTGGGCATGACGGGCGACGGCGTGAACGACGCGCCCGCCCTCAAGAAGGCCGACGTGGGCATTGCCGTGGCGGGCGCCACCGACGCCGCGCGCGCCGCCGCCGACATTGTGCTCACCGACCCGGGCCTGGGCGTCATCATCCACGCCATCATCATCGCCCGCCAGATCTTCCAGTGCGTCAAGAACTTCATCAACTGTGAGGCCGGGGTGGCGTGGAGGGCACCGGGGGGCGCATGCAGCGGGAGGGGGCTGGACCCGGACCTGGGTCCTGCTCTCCACGCGTCTCCCGCTTGCAGGCTGCAGCGGCCTCGCCTCGCCTCCCCTCCCCACCTCACCTCGCCTCGCCCCCTCCCCCCCCGCGCCCCGCAGACCGTATCGCCGCCACCCTGCAGCTCCTCACCTTCTTCTTTATCTCCGTCTTTGCCTTTGACCCCCACGACTTCTGCCAGTCCGCCGTGGACAACGGCTACGAGTACGCGTGCGGCACCGACTCGGAGGAGTGGCCCGACTTCTTCCAGCTCCCCGTCCTCATGCTCATGCTCATCACCCTGCTCAACGACGGCACGCTCATCTCCATCGGCTACGACCGCGTCAAGGCCTCGCCGCGCCCAGGTGGGGGCAGAGGGCAGCCGCGGGCAGCCTTGGACAAACCTTGCAGCCTTGCAGGCGGCTCGCGGCAGAGCGCGCGCGTGCGCGCAGCAGCCCTCGCCTTCCGCCCTCGCCTTCCACCCACCCGCCCGCCCGCCCGCCGCTCCCACCCCCCTCCTGGCGTGGCGTGTCGTGCAGAGAAGTGGAACCTACGCGTGCTGTTCCTGGTGTCCACAGTGCTGGGCATCGTGTCCATGGGCTCCTCCCTCCTGCTCGTGGCCCTGGTGCTCGACTCCCCCAACCCCGGCTCCCTGTTCCAGAAGATGGGCCTGCCCGTGCCGGTGAGCAGCCCCGCTCGCCTCGGGCTCCGCCGCCACGGGGGCGCCGCCGGCCGGCGGGGCTGCCTCCAGCGCAGCTGCGCCCAGCAGGCCTGGGCGCGGGCGCTGGCGCTGGCGGCGGCGCCGCGGATGCCGCTGCGGGCCGTGCCCTGTTGGCGCCCTGTTGGCACCCTGTGCACCCGGCCAACCCTGCCGCCGCGCTGCCCGCCCTGCCTGCCCCACCCGCAGCCCTATGGCAAGCTGGTGACCATGATCCACCTCAAGGTCTCCCTCTCCGACTTCCTCACCCTCTTTGCCGCCCGCACCGAGAGCTTCTTCTTCACCATGAGGCCCGGTGAGTGGGCGACCCCTTGCCAGCATGACCCAGCACGGCGCGGGGTGGACGACGCGCCTTCCCGATTTTGCAACGAGGCCTGTGGCACAGGAGGGCGGGCCCTGCCTGCCTGCCTGACTGCCCTGACTGGCTGCCCGCCTGCCGTGCCCCGCCCCGCCTGCCCCGCCGACGCCGACGTGCCCCCCCCCCCCTTTTCCCCGTCCCCTCCTGCCTGCCTGCTCTGCAGGCAAGCTGCTGATGGCCGCGTGCTGTGTGGCGCTGTCGCTGTCCACCGTGCTGGCCTGCATCTGGCCGGAGGGCGAGCTGGACCACGTGCCGGTGGAGGGCCTGGCGCTGGAGGGCGGCGACAACTACACCCTCTGGCCCCTGTGGATCTGGATCTTCTGCATCGTGTGGTGAGGCCGCATGCCGCGCGTCGCCGGCGTGCGCGCTCGCTGCTCCCGCAACCCTCCCGGCGCGCGGTGAAACCACCCATTTATGCAATTGCGCTCTCTCTTCCCCTCTGTCTGCCTCCCTCCCATCCACACCCCCTCGCCCCCTCCCCTCCCTCCCCCCCGCTGCCTGCAGGTGGTGGATCCAGGACCTGCTCAAGGTGGGCACCTACTGGGTGGTGCTCAAGCTGGACATCTTCCAGGCCCGCACCGGCGCGCTGGTCAACCTGCGTGACGCCTTCAGCACCAAGGACAGCCCGATCGCGGAGGAGGTGACGGGCGTGGTGGAGACCAAGCTGCTGGACAAGAAGGTGGCGGCGGTGGAGGAGCAGGTGACGAAGATTGCCAAGCAGGAGCGCGGCGCGGTGCCGCCCTCGCTCGCGCGCATCTCCAAGACCACCGCGCTGGCGCGCACCTCCATGACGGGAGCCAACCTGGGCCGCACCTCGGCCACACAGATCACGCAGCAGGTCCAGGAGATCGAGGTGAGGCAGTGGGGAGGCGGAGGTGGAGGGGCGGGGCGGGGCTGGCGGCTGGGTAGGGGCTAGGTAGGGGCTGGAGGCTGGCCGCCTGGCCTGCGTGGGGCTGGCGGTGGCTCTGGGAGCACGCGCGTTTGGTGGCTGCCCTTCTGTACGGCGCCGTGCCTGCCACGAGCCGAGCGCCGGCCGCTCGTCCCTGCCCTGCGGCGCCTGCCTGCCTGCCTGCTGAGCTTGGCCTGCCCCGCTGCCTGGCCCCCCGCCTCCCCCTGCCACAGGATGCGCTGGCCCAGCCGCTGGGCGGCAAGATCTCGGCCCAGGAGCGCCAGGAGCTGGAGCGGCGTGCCGAGGAGATGCGGCTGGCCCTCGCCAAGCTGCAGCGCGTGTCTGGTGAGCGCCCGGCGCCGAGAGCAGGGGCGCCACGCGGCGGCCAGGGTTGTGCGCTGGCGGCCGTTGCCTTGCCCAGCCCCACAGCTGCATCTTTGCTGTGCCCGACCCGGCCACTGAGCCGCCGGCCCCTGCCTCCCTCCCCGCCTGCCTGCCTGCAGCCGTGCGTGGCGACCAGCCATAGGCGCCTGTGGCTGCGGCGCGCCGGCGCTGATGTGTGTGCTGCGCCCTTTGGACCGGCCGCGATGGCCATCGCGGTCGGCGGCTGCAGCAGCGGCGGGTGTAGGTGAAGCGGAGGCGTGGCCATGCCTCCTCGTGGCAGCAGCGGTGCTGCCGCCATCGATGCGGCCGCGGCCTCCCTGATTCGCCCCGCGCTGAACAGCACGTGGGGCTGTGTGAACGGCGGAGCGCTGCCACCCCACTCCTACCCCCGCAAACCCCCAACTCAACCGAGCCCTTTCGGCTTCTCGCTTGTCTCTCTATCCACATCTGTTTTTTCTTTCCGTGCTCCACTAAGCGTTTTGGACTCAATGCGCCGAGTTCTACTTTTCCGCGTCCCTCTCTGTTCAGGCCACCAGCCTGGCAGCGATAGCGCAGGGCCCAGCTTCTGTGTGTGCCCTGAGCGATGCCTTGCCACATCGGCTGGCTGGAGGACGGGCGTTGTTGTGGCTCCCTTCCCTTTTGCTGCATAATTCGTAGCGTCTCAACCACTCTTTTTGGAGAAGGTATTTGGGGGTGTAGGTCAACAACAAATGGCGCCCGACACATGTGACAACCACTTACAAGTACTTTCATCTTGAGATCCATTGGGAGCTGACAGTGTGGAATTGCGTATTCGGTTGGGAGGCTGGTTGGTTGCAGCACGCACCACTCAGCGGCTTGGCATGGCCATGGCCAAAGCCGGGATGCATGCCCTGATGGCGGCCGGTCAGGCGGAGGCAGCCAGCTGGCGCAGCCTTGTGGAGGATGCCATTGGCGCGTTACATCTTCTTCATGTCCTCATCGACTACCGTGCCCTTCAAACCAGAACAGCAGCGCCTGCACCATGCTTGCTCACCCAATTCTACGTTCCGCGCTCATCTCCGGCTGTTCTAATGCCGCCGGCGACCTGCTGTGCCAGTGCATACGAGCGCGAGCGGCAGGCAACAAAGAGATGAGGTGCGCCGCTGCCGCCCCTACTCCCGCCATCGGGCGCTGGCGGCCTCCCGCCGGCGACACCTTGCGTGGTGCTGGGCCCCCATGAGCGTACCGACTTGCCTTGCCGTGGGTGCAGAGTGAACTGGCAGCAGACGGCATGGTTCGGAATTGTGGGTCTCACGCTACACGGCCCATACTTCTACAATGCCTACCGATGGCTGGACACTCGCTTTGGAACCGCTGCAACGCTGCAAAAGGTCCCTTGCGCTGCTCCTGCCTGCAGCGCTGTTCCTGCTAGCAGCACGCTGCTTGTGGCGTCCGTCGCAAGCACAGCCACCTCGGCCTCCCCTGGTGCCCGTCTGCCCCCCTTGCTCATGCCCCCGCCACCACCTGCAGGCCCTCGTGAAAACAGCGGCAGGGCAGGTGACAGTCTTCCCAGTCTACATTGCATCTTTCTTCGGCTACATGGGACTGTTGGAAGGCCTGTCCCCAGCGCAGGTGTGGGGCCGCCAGGCATACCAAGCCGGCGAGCGCGTTCTGGCCGCCTGGCTCCCCAGCCCTGCGGTTCGACACACACACACACCACCCTGTTGCGCTGTGCCTTGCAGTGCGTGAGCAAGGTGCAGCAGGCGATGGCGCCCACCTTCATGACGGGCTGCCTCTTCTGGCCTGTGGCCAACACCGTCAACTTCATGGTGGTGCCGCCCACCGGCCGCGTCCTCTTTGCCAACGGCGCCGGCCTCATCTGGAACTCCTGGCTCTCCTTCGAAAACAGCACCAAGGGAGCGGTGGCGGCGGCAGCGCCGGGCGGCAGCGGCAGCAAGCGCTGATGTACGGCCGAGGCTTTAATTCGACTCCCTGACTTGCACTCCCTGATTTCATTCACTTGCATCCCTTCCTCTGCCGACCTTCCTGTCTACTGCACTTCCCTGCCTCCCTGGTGCATCCGTCTCTTACAATGCTGAACTGCCAAATTCTATTCCAGGCACGCACTCCTCCTGTAAACGGCCCTGTGGCACGCTGCTCCTGGCCTTGGCCTGTCAGCTGTAAACTCGCTCCACACGACTGCTCCAGACGCACCTCCACCGCCCCACTCGCCCATCAGTCGTCGTCCTCGCCGCCGCCGCCGCCGCCCTTCTGCCCCTGGTTCATCACGGCCTGCTCAGCAGTGGGCGCAGCCACACAGGGCAGGCAGACAGAAGGTGGGCTCAAGCGGCACCAGCAGGGGGCCAGCGCCGGCGATGATGGCGAGGTGGCGGGGATGCAAGGGCGCCGTACCGCCGCCGCACCCCCCACCTGCTTGCGGTACATCTCTGCCACCTGCTCCGCTGAGGTGGCATCCTCGGGGCCCTTGTCGTCGCGCACCCGCACCAGGCGCGGGAACCTGCAGCGGGGCGGGGAGGCGCAGGGTAGGGCGGCACAGTGGCGCAGGGGGCGGCGCGGCGGGCACCGCCATCTCACCACCCCCTTCCCTTCCGCGCGCCCCACCTGATGGAAATGCCTTTGGCTGGGTCCACCTGCCCGATGGCCGCCTTGTGCACCGGGCTGCACGCACAGCGGGGGTTCGGCATTCGGCGAGGCACCCGTTTAATAGACGACGGCCGCTGCTCAGGACCCCTGAGAGCGCAGCACACACCCCCTGGCACACCCTGACCTGCTGGCGAACCCACGCAGCAACACACCATGCACTACCGCCACCACAGCCACCACAGCCACCACCGGCAGCCTCTCTGGTGAAAGAGAGAGAGAGAGTGAGAGAGAGATCTGCTGACCTGATGGACAGATCCGCGGCCTTGATCTCCCACACCGACTTGGCATCAAACCACACATCCGGGATCAGCGTCTCGCCGTACCTGCAGTACCGGAGGCAGCGGTACCAAAGGCACATCATGCACGAAGCAGTCGGGCGGCCGCTGCCCTTGGGGGGGTGCCTCACGTCAACGACGCCCAGCATGCAACCCACCACACCACGCCCAGCACGTGCCTGTAGTACTTCTTGGCGTCTGGGATCACCAGCCCCTCCATCTGCTCCGCCAGCTGCTTCAGCTGCTCCTCGCTGCAGCACAGCAGCCCCGGGGATGGAGGTGCAGGCAACAAGTGAGAGGGCGGAGGAGGGGCGGTGCTGTGCGTTGGGACCGCTGTGCCCAGCGCCCACAGCGCAGCGGCAGCCGGAGGCTGTCACAGGAGCGGCGACAAGCACCGGCGACGGCGGCGCGCTGTGGTGTCGGCCACCTGAACCCGGTGCCGATCTTGCTGATGGTTTGGTACTCCTCCGTGTCCGGGTCGTAGGCAGCCAGCAGGTAGGAGCCGTACATGCCTACAGGCGCGTGCGCGCACGCGCGCGTGTGTGTGTGTGTGTGTGTGTGTGTGTGTGTGACGTTCAGGCGTGGCGCGTGTGGCCCGGGTGGCGCAGGGGAGCAGGCGCAGGGAGGGACGCGATGGGCTGACAACAATGGGAGGCGGCCGGCTCAAGGGCTGCCGCCAACCATGCATCGCACCCCGGCCCCCCCATCCCGCCGCCACCCCACCTGTGCGCTTGCCCTTGCCGAACCAGGCTCCTATGGGCACCAGGTCAAAGGTGTCCCCCACACCCTCCAGGTAGTCCTTCTTCAGCTTCAGCCAGTGGCTGCTGCGCTTGCTGGGCTCGTACGCATCTGCGGGCGGGTGGGTGGGTGGGTGGGGTGTGAATGTAGGTGGGGAGTGCCATGCGGGTGTGGGGAGGGGGGTGCGCATGCGTGGCATGCTGTGCTGTGTGTTTGGTTTGGCGGAAAGAGTGTGTCTGTGTGTGAGCGCGCGCGAGAAGGCGTGGGGTGCGGTGCCACGGGCCTCGCGCGGGGCGGCTGCGCCCCCGGGCCCGCAGCAGCCGCTGCGGCACCCCCCAGCCGCGCACCCCACCCTGCCCCGCCCTGCCCACCTTCCGTGGTCTTCACGATCAGCCCCTCTGTGCCCGCCTCCACCGACTCATCCAGGAAGCGGGTCAGCTCCTCCACATCCCGGGAGGTCTGCATGTGTGTGTGGGTGTGTGTGTGTGGGTGGATGGGTGGGTGGCGTGTGCGTGTGGGTGGCAGGAGGACAGAGGACTGAAAGAGGTGTGTGACGTCAGTGTCTGGGGGCAGGGCGGGCGCGTGTGCGAGAGAGGCCGGGCATCTCCTCTCTTCACGCACCACCTCCGCACGCAAGCGCACCACCACCACCACCACACACCATACACACACACACGCGCGCGCACACACACGCACCTTGGCGGTGGCGAACTCGAGGCGGCTGGGCGCGGGCTCCAGCGCCGAGTAGAGCGCCTCGCGCCTCGCCGTCAGCG